ATAATTAAGATAAGAAAAGTATAAAAGACATGATAAAACGTGAAATACATATGAAGATAAGACAAGATAACATAAGACAAAAAGACAGAAAAAATACTATAAAAACAATGAATGTAGGACAAACAGGGTAATCTTAAACCAGCTCTAAAGGGATTTCAGAATGTGGGGGTCCAAAGTAATGTCTTTCAATATAACAATTGTATTATGATATAAAACAGAATAGCAAGAAATCTCCATATTTGAGAGGCTGAAAACTGATTATTTGTTGCTGTTCCTGCATAAAAATGACTCATGAGATGAATCAATAGTTCAAATTGTTGGCCGTTCGTTGTCAGTAGTTGTACTTATGAATGCAGCTCACATCTTTTTAAGCCAGGAAGGACTGGGAGGATTAATAAGACGGCAAACAAATCTAAATGGAGTGATAGTCATATGGTTGATGGATGAAAGAAAGCATTAGATCTAAAATCAAACACAAACGTGCACACACTCGCACCCCTCCCCCGGCTTTTAGGTCTTTGTTTGTTCGCCTGTCGCTGTGCTAATTATGTCCTGTCAACAGCTTGTCAAGAATCAAGAATTAGAAACGTTAATAACATTAACAGGAAAGACACTAATGGAATTCATACAGAGTGTGTCCTGCAAGCATCCGCTCCTACCTGAGCCGGAGCACAAAGCGCCTGGCAGGTTATGAGCTAAAAGTCAGGGGCTAATCAATATGCACATTATTAGTATGGGAATTTGCGATGTGATGCATGTTTGTATAAATTGCAGTGATGACACTAATGCACGGAGGACACACTTCTCCCCGCAGAGTTGTTTCTACAAGATGAAGCTCATTATCTCAGCCTGGTTAGCGGAGTAGGGGAGGTCGACTCAATCATGTTCCTTCTGCATGTTGGGTCAACTGAAAACACACTCACTTACAGCCTATAATTAGGGATGTCCCGATCACCTTTTTTTGCTTCCGATCATTTTATTTTACAATCTGCCGATACCGATTTTTCCCGATCCGATCTTTATGCAATGCATTAAGAGAAAAAAAAGGTAAGAGATGGTTATCCAACGCGATGAATTCAGCTACCTTGGCTGTTATTTGTTTGGCCTTTTCACTGTTCTGGAGCAGTTTCTCTTTCCTTTTAAAAGTGTCGGTTGTTTCAGTGCCGTTACCTGAGTGGCCACTGTGTACTCGTCGTGTTGTTGTTTTGTTTCTCAGGTGGCGTATATTAGATTGGTCGTGTTGAACGTAGCTCGGTTCCTTCGACCACGCGGAACCTCCGCCTTTGCAAACATTGCATCTGGCTGTTAAAGCCCAAAAGAAGCAACACATATATGATGTTGTGTAATTTTAAACCAAAACGAAGGCCTCAGGATGACTTTCAGACGTGAACATGGTCATTTTTGTTTTTTAACAGTAAATACAAATATTTTATATAAAAAGAAAAAAATCCCGATCCCCGATTTTTTTTCCTCCCGATTCCGATCTTTTGAAAATCACGTGATCGGATCGGGACATCTCTACCTATAATGATATAGAAGAAGCTACTCACCACAAATGAATGCATAGGTATGTTCAGATTCAGAACTAGAATGATAAAGAATCCAGCCTGAATGCATCACATATGTATTTGCAGTAATGGATTACTCTTAAAAGTATTCAACTTAAATGATGATGTAGATTGTGAACAGTGGTTCAGAGGTGAGAAGTAACTTCACTCAAGTACTGTACTTAAGTACAATTTTAAGGTATTTTTTACCTTACTTGAGTATTTTCAATTTATGCTACTTTATACATCTCTAAAAATGAAACTACTGGACTCACTGTTTAAGTCACAAAATAGTTAAATTATTTAAATATCTTACAAAAAATCAATCAGAACTTTGTTTGTCTCCAACAGTAAAATGCTACTTGATGCAGCAATATTATCTCGAAATGTCACATAAAGGCCATTTTCCGGCACTGTGATTAATTTAACTTTTTATACTTAAAATTCATTTTTCTGATAATACTTTTGTACTTTTACTGAAGTAAGATTTAGAATGCAGGACTTTTACTTGTNATACTGTGTGTGTGTGTGTGTGTGTGTGTGTGTGTGTGTGTGTGTGTGTGTGTGTGTGTGTGGTAGGAGAAGCAGTAGATCATTTTAGGACGGCATGCCTGTGCACCTTTAACTGCAGACCTATTTCTTAGACTTATTTTATTGGACAGGATTATTACGTTAATATTTGACCTAGTTAAAACCCCATTGTCAGTTAATAATCCTATTACTCTTTCTGTGTGTATTAAGGGTTTTTTAAGGATGTTTTTGTCTTTTAAGAGAGCTGGATTAAGAATTGTTGGCTGAAAAGCTCTTTTTAGTCATTTTCCTATATGTGAGCACAACTTCTCAGGGCATTACATTCCCAAGTAGTGGGCTGCATCCACATGGTTCACTGCACTTATTATAAGTTGCTTTGGATGAAAGCATGAGCTAAATAAATGTAATCTTTTCTGTGGATTATATTGGAGTAGCTCCGGCCAACCCATCTCCCCCTTCGTACACCAGTTTTTGTTTACAGTATTTACCCTCCCACTGTCCTCTCTTGTATTTGTCTCCTCCTTTTATTCCGCACCCATCGTTCCCCCTCTTCTCTATTCTGGCACTGTTGTAGCCACAATGTCCCACATGGAAGCCCTGCCCTGGTCCTTTTCTGTAAATACTCTGAGGATGTAGGCCATCAGTGTGTCTCTACTCTCCAGGAAGCTTTTTATTATGATTCTATTTGATTTATATGTTACTTAGGATGCAGTAGGTTAGTAAATAGATTAACAAAGAAAAACCCATGATCTAATAAAAATAGCAAGCTATTACATTTACATTTTCTGTTTGTATTTGTGGGTAACATTTCTAAAGAATAAGTTGCTTTTCATTTTAAGCGATTGCAGAATGAAATTGATTTGAGCACCACATATTCAGCTAATTCTAATTGTTAAACTACAATTATATAAAGTACTATAACATTTTACATGCACTATTTAGCTATACTTGCATACAGGATATCTCTTGTTTGGAGGGTTTTCTTAAAAATATCAAGGACAGACATCCACATTTTTATATATATATATATCTGCTCCAAACTAAATTCATGCTTTTCCATTTGACATCTGAAAAAAAGCAGTAACTAAATGTCACCACTGACTTCCCACTGACTCGCACATGATCTTTATTAGAGCATTTATAGCACTCTCTCCTCGAGTGCTGTGCAATCTCACACCTGATTGTAGGACTTTAGAAAAGTCCACTGTGTGCCTCTTCATTTTGGAGTCATTTAAGACACAATCAATCTTTAAAAGGTCTGTTTAGCAGAATATCCCTGGAGTGAGAATAATATAGTGGAAAACTCAAATGTGTATATGTATTTGGTTTTAAAGCACCCTGCTGTGTACTTGGAAGACATTAATGTCTCACTAAAGGTTGACTGTACAGTTCTTCATGAGTCTTTGCTGCTGACTGTCCTGTGTCCTCACGTTGGATTTGCTGGGTCATCCTCCTGCTCTGAATAGGCTGATGTCTTTTGTTCTTGTTTTCTTTAAAGGACAGAGGTTTCTGTAGGGAGCAAACATTACTCAACAAAAAGCTAGTGGGCTCCAGGGTAAGGGGTTAGACAAAAAATCCCTACAAGAATTTGGAATTCATTAAAATAAATAAATAACAGTAAATAGATTAAAATACATACAAATAAGAGGTTCTGCTACCTAGTTTTAAAACGAGCTAGAAAATACACATTTGCCATTCCAGTTAGCATACTTGTTAGAAGTGGCCCTGACAGTGAACCCCTTCAAGAATTGAGCATTTCCAATTCATGGAAATAACTTAATAAAAGGACACTCATAATAATGTTGCATTTTAATTCAGTAATAAAGAAGAATAATACAAACATATTTAAAAGTTTCAAAGTCAGCCAAGGTTAAGATGCACCTAGTACAGAGTGTCCTAGATATATGTCACTGTGTAGAAAACTTAAAACATCAACGCTATGTGTACAATAAGTAATGTCATCTTCCAATCTAAGAAACGCATGAACACGTACTCTCTCGGGCAAAACATCTGGGAAACACTTTGTATATAAAAAAAGCATCACTTGTGTTGAACATGTTAAACTTGAATAGAAAAAAAGTCATTGTCAAAGCCTGAGTCGAACACCTCCAAAACATCTGGATCTGCTTCTATATAAACATATAGCACATGAGGTCCTAAGGGTTCAAGAGACCGAATAAGTGAGTCTAGTGAAGCTAGATGTACTCCAGCAATAGAGGCTATACTTTATGGTGTGTGAGACTTTGGACAAAACTTACTGTAAGATCAACTCACACTCTCTCCGCCTCACAGCCCATCTTCAAACAGAGCCTCTCTCTTATGCATATACCTCCCTTGCATACACCTCCTTTTATCACAGTATATTTCTTTAAACAGTGTGAACATGAAATGATAATCTCACTGCACCTTTATACCCACTCGTTCCTCTTTCCCCCCACCGGTGCCCTGGAGCTTATCCATTCCTACCTGAACTCTACAAGAAAGCCTCTGAAAATACAGCGGCTGGCGTCCCACAGACGCAAAACCTGACAAGGCTGTTCTTTAGTTGAAACTCCTAATACAGAAGCACTATATGCACTCATCGTTGACCTTTTGATGACCAATCATCCAGTGAGTGCTGATGATAGTGTAGCTGGTTAATCTGCACCGTGCCACCTCTTTGACATTGTGCGACTATAAGAAAATTTGACCTAGACCTGCTAAGAGGGACGACACGAGGACATCAGTTGTTCACAGCACTCAAGGTCTATAATCTATCAATGCCCACATTGTTTTCACATCATCATTTCTTCTGTGACCATGTCCTGGTCTTTTTGTACTTATCAAGCCAACTAATGTTCAAACTATTCAGGATGTCCTGCCGTTCTTTTGATTAGCCGCTGTGCTAACCTTTAACTCCTGCAATCATGTTGTCTTTTCCAGGTATCGAATGCCCACGCAGTTCCAGGAATATGCCCGGGGGGACGCAGGTGGCTGAACCCTTCAGTGAAGAAGCCATGCTGTTCACCAAAGAGCTGGTGCTGCAGAGAGAGGTAAGCAGGCTTTCCGGGACATTCTGGCCCCTGTTTCATCACTTCCACGTGGTTTGAAACGCTCATTCCCATGTTGCTAACACTTGGCGTTTTGCTATTTTGGCAACCCACATTGCTGCATTTTATTTTCACACTCACAGTCCAAGTTTAGTCTGCTTTGAGCCTTTTGGTTTAGAGATGTGAGAGGAATATGGACTATTATACTTTTCAATTACAGTTGCTCAATAGCACAGAAGCTTCTTTTGGCTGGAGAACACATTTCCATCAGGCATTCTGGCTAGTTTTTAAGAGGCTGCCATGAATTTGATTTGAGCACCACATATTCATTTAATAATATTTGTTAATTTACAATTTTATGAGGTACTATAACTTTTAAGGGCACTATTTAGCTATACTTCCATACAGGATATCTCTTGTTTGGAGGATTTTCTTAAAAATATCAAAGACAGACATTCACATTTTTAGATATATATCTCTGCTCCAAACTAAATTCATGTTTTTCCATTTGACATCAGAAAAAAAGCAGTAACTAAATGTCACCACTGACTCCCAAATGATCTTTATTAGAGCATTTGAAGCATTCTCGAGTGCTGTGAAATCTCAACCATAATCTAATCAAAAGTGGCCACCGTCAAGTAGACCAAACCAAAAGCACCCCCCCCCTCTTACCAACCTCCCCTGCTTACACCCAGTTTATGGAAAGCTCACCTGATAGTGGATCAGTGCTCCTGGGCTTTCGAAAACTCCACTGTGTGCCTGTTCATTCACATGCTAATACATTTTTATAAGAAGCAGCGAACGGACCGAGCCCATAATGGAACGAGCTATAATCCCGCCGCCACTTATCCCGGCCTCACACTGCCTCTCTTTAACTCCCCCCTTCCATCCATATCGCTGCTTTAAAGGGCTCTCTTTGCATAGGGTGGCTGACTCCACTGCCCAACGCTCTTTAATTGTCATGGAAATGTACCTTGGCTGGGGTATTGAGGTGGACTACTGTTAGAGAGTGGTAGAGCTGTATGTGTGTGTATGTGGCAGTGGTGGAAAGTAACTACTGCAAGTAAATGTACTCAAGTAATATAAATAGAGTATTTTCATTTCATACCACTTTCAACTTCTACTCAATGAGTACTCCTAATACTTTAGGTACATTTTCCTAATCATAATATAAGTACTTTTACTAAAGATTCACAATGCAGTACTTTTACCTGAAGGTGTGTGGCGAGCCAGGAGTATAGGTTGGATCCAGGAAGCCTCGGCTGTGAAATAATTGATGTTAGCAACAGGGGATTTTGATTGACAGCAAACCATGAGTCGGTGCAGTGCAGAGGTGCTCCAGCGCTGACATGTTGATATGAATTTTTATTATATTCTTTTTTCAGATGCACACACAAATGCATAATTAATCAGATTTATAAGGCGCCCGCTTCGCCACACCGCCCTTAGTCTGTCGGATACGCGCGCATATTAAATTAAACATTTCTATCCATACACACTCTGACGCACACGCTCTCTCTCACACATTTTCTCCCTTGCCAGTCATTGGTGGTGTCAGCAAGTTTCTTCGCAGGTAGGTGGGAGTTAGCAGGCAGGACAGAGCCACAGAGTGAGCCAGGTGCGGGGGCTGCTTGGCTGGCTGCTCTGACCTGCTGTTATGGGCTAATATGAACACAAACACACTCAACGGACACGTTTCAAGTAGATAACAACACAGTTAAGCGTTCACACATGAGCTGTCGCTTTTCCAAAAAAAAAGTGAAATCATTAACTGAAAAAATAAGTAACGTTTTGAAAATCCCTGTGTAGAAAATCAGGCTGTTCTTGGCAAGGAAGAACAGGTGACAGCTGTAAGAAGTCAAATGATGGTGTACGGGTGAAGTGAAAAGGTGAGAGGGAGTGCAGACGCTCTAACGAGAGATGAGTATATAGCGGCATAATACAAAGATGTGATGTAGGATGGAAAGGTAGAGACACTTGGCATCTTTCTCTCCATCTCTCCTCTCCCTGAGGGCGACCGAGAAGGGTTATTAAGGTGTGTCACTCTCCAACGTGAATACGCATCATTTAGTTTAATAGCATAAGATTCCGCTGTTGATCCGTGTCTGAATAGCGTGTGATTGCAGAAGCTTCTCACAATGTTTTGGAAGATGGCCTCACGTGAATAACATTTGATTTGGTTTCTTGCGGCGTATTTATATGCATTCATCAAATATTTCTCTCGCTTTCGCTACTCCACAGGCATTTTGAGTTCTGTAGGGCTTTGTGATGTGATGGCATGTTGACTCAATGGTCTGTATGCTTTTTTTCTCTCCGTGCACTTCGGTCTTTTACTGCTCTGTAATTATCCGTTCCCTCTGCTTTGAAAGCGGGTGCAGACATGAGCTTTTTGGTGCTTTCACTAATGGCCTTTTCTCTCTCTCTCGCTTCCTCTTTGTCATTTGTGGCTTCTTCTCGCCTCCCGCGTCTTCTCTGGTGTCCAGTTTTAATTCTGACATTTGCTCTCAGCTTTCTCCCCCCCTCCTCCTTCCTTTTCTTCCCACCCCCTCCTTCCAGCAGATATGGCTGCCACACAGCCATATCTTAATTTCTCCTGATGCAGACACGCATAATTAATGTGGCATCCAGCGAGGGGAGAGGCCCTGGTTCCTGTCTCCTCTATTTATAAACACCACCACCCCTCATTCCATCGGTGTCTCTCTGGTGATTCGCTGCCACTTTTCTCTTTACAGATTTCTTTCACTTTCTGACTCTCTTTTCTTCAAAAACCTCTTTTTATCTGCTCTGTCTCCCTCCCTCCCCTCTTCCTCTCTTCTACTGTCTGCCTCTCTCCCTCTGCGTTGTGTTAATCTCTGACAGACACTGCTCCCGTTCGCAGTGTGGAACCCAAACAGCAGCACATCATTCTGAGGGAAAAAGGGAACGCATGGTAAACACCACTCCCCAGACGTTTCGCTTTTCTGTTTTGATGTATTCCCTTTAATTTCTCTCACCTCCCACCTTCCATTGACAACAAAGAAAGCCTCCATTCAGAGTCTCTGTCACTGACGCCCTCTGTTTTTATTTTCGCTTTGGGTGGCAACTTCAAACGCTCAGGCTAACCAGGAGGGACGAAGAAGGAAGAATTATACCGCGTGTTTATCGAGCAAGAGCCAGCTAGATACGGGACATAATTAGTTCTGTAGCGTTACTAAAACACACAATTCGGTGAAACAATATTTAAACTGTTCCCGATGCCTCATTTGAAAAATGTATGTTTAATTAGATTCATTCCAAACAGGAGGCTGCAAGGGGAAAAGGTGACAGCAAAGTAACTTAAAAACTATTTCAGACATGCTTGAAGAATAGTTGTTACCAGGTGTTATTTTTACATTTGAATATTGAGTAAGAGCTTCTGCAGGGTTTTACATAAGCTCACATCTTTCCCTTCAGTTCCAAATTGCATATAGTTTGCAGTGCTGATGAGTAACGAAGTACATTACTAACTTTAAGTACTGCATTCAAGTACAATTATGAAGGATGCTACTTTGCACTTGTACTCCACTACACTCTAGAGGTAATTTGTGTACTTTTACTCCTACATTTTTTAATACCTTTAGGTACTTTACAGATTTGGATTATTGATGTGAAATATAATAAACACTTCAATCAGTCTTTATTTACACCTGGAGTAAATTCACAAGCTACCCTGCAGTATACAATGTATATTATATATACACAACATGTAATACATTATTATTAAATGGGCCAATCTGCATAAAAAATACTTTCACTTTTGGTACTTTAAGTATATTTTGACGCTCATTCGTTTAGTAACATTTTGCTTGCAGGACTTTTACTTGTAACAGAGTATCTCTACACTCTAGTACTTGTACATTTACTTAATTACAAGATCTGTGTACCGTACTTCTTCCACCTCTGCTAGTTTATAATATTTCATCTTTGCTAATGAGCTTTGAAACTTGCTTTTTTTGTGTTCATCAGCACAGAGTAGATTGATTGGACCCATTGTATATTCTTCCAGTTATATAACAGATCCCCTTCCGACGGGGAGCAGGGATGAGGGAAGAGGGTGAGGCACAGCCGGAGTGTTTGACGAGCAGGTATGAGAGCGGGCTAAGTGGACAGTAATATGCGATGTACTGATCCACCTACGTCCTCCGTCAGCCCTGTTGACCTCATTCAGTCTGGGTGGTCCCTCATCTCCTGCTCTGCCTACACACCAACCATTTACCTACCTCTCACACAGACACGCTCCTATAGTTACACTCTGCTTCACACAACATGCACATACATGAACATTGTTTGTGTGTGTGTCAGGGTTTTCTTCAGTACCATACATTTTGTAAAAAGGATTTTGAACAATGTGTATCATGCCCTTGTGATGCATTAACTCTGCAATGTTCTCTGGAAACTTGTCAACAGTCTATTTAAATGTATAGCTCGTAGTGCATGTCATCCCTTTGGAACAATCATTTAGAGACACTTCATTTCACCTCAAATTTCAAATAACATAGCAATAATGAAAGATGTTAATTGCTATAATCAAGCAAAAAAAAAAGAAAGAACACAAAACAAGCATTTTAACATAATTGCCTCAGTCTTTAAGCACACATAAAAAACATACACACATATTATTCACATACTCACATACACACATACACACATACACACATACACACATACACACATACACACATACTCACATACTCACATACTCACATATTATTCACATACACACACACACACTTACCTCTCTCTGTGCAGAATGTTAAATCTCGGTGTCGTGTAGCTTGGGCTTTGCTCTCGCCTCTAACCCCTCTTTAAACAGTTCCCTCGCTCCCACCTTACCCCACCTTGGGACCAGCACTTGTGCCCCCCCGCTGTTAAAGGTGGGGGCTGGCACAGGCTGCCTTCAGACCTGCAGGGGGCCGCGTCGTGGAGCGATGATGAGTCATTGTGCAGATCACAGATGCCCTGCTAATTCCTGCCTCGACAGATCT